AGCCTATAAAATATATAGTGTGTGCGTTGCATTTAGTCATATTGCATTAATTAGGAGCATGCATATTTTTTTTAATTAATTTGCTTTATTTTGGCTCGGAGTACTACTAAGTAATTTTGTGTTTTAGCATCTTGCATCAAATGTTTGTGTTACCATGTCAAAGCATACTTCCATGAAGCTAATTGCTTAAATGATATAACTGTTTGAATGCCTGTGGATGAAGGCTAGTTGCTTGAATTGGGATAGTTGGATTAATGTCCATTTTAAGCCCACTTTTTCAAGTGGCAAATCCACAAAACACTTTCAAATAAAACACGAAATCAAATGTTCCAATTCTTGCAAATTAGTCTATATTTGTGTGTGCGTTACATAGTAAAAAAATAGCTAATAATCGGAACAAAAGCATATAATGTAAATAAGAATCGCATCATGATTAGTAGAGGCCGATCTTTGATCGGGCGAGTGGGGTGCTCAATTCATGACCTTCCCCTCTCGTACCTAAGTTCCCAAGCCGAGACACTTTGGTGATGAAGAACTAATGGCCTTTGGCACGAGTCTTGGGTTTCCTAAATTTTCCAAAAATATTTAAGTAGCAACTCTAAAATCTGGCAAAGCAGTCCATTTTTGGCATTTGATTCAAACATCGATTTTCTAAAAGAATTGCCGGATTTGGACTCTTTTTGTGTTTTTACTGTTTCACATTACACTTGTGAAATCAAATTCAGAACCACGAGAGTCCGAACTATAAGGCTATTCGTCTTCCGAAAGGAGCACGAAAAGTCAAGCTGCAACAACCTTCACCAACTCAAGGTGTATATCGAGAAAAGAAAAGTTTTAAATTTTACATTTCAACCTTAAAGTTAAGTAAATACATTCAATTTCATGTTATATTAAACAAATCTCAAAACTAGGGTTTATGGAAAATTTGGGATTTTCTCTCTTTTATGAATTAAGGACTATTTTTCCTCATCAACAACAAAAATATCAATAAAAAACATAATTTCATCCAAAAATCATGAATTATTGACCACATCCTTCCAAATCATTTATTAACCAACACAATCCATACACATATACATATATATATATAAGAATGAATATCTAATGAAATTACCACATGTGGGTCTCAAATCTAGGATATAATATAACAAGTTAAATACACTCCTACCTCAAGATTGGAAGTTGAAGATGAGAACCCACATGAAACTTTGGCAAAATTACGAAATAATCGTTAGAACTCGTGATCCAAGCTTCCCTTTCAACCTTCTTGAAGAATCTAGGATGGATCTAAGGTAAAAATTGGATAAATCAAGTGTTTGGGGCTCTAGGGTTTCGATATTGAGGAGAGGGAGAGAACAGAGGACGAAAGAATAAAACTTTTGGGCCAAAAAGCACCTTTAAAGTGCCTGATATCGACCAGACCGCTTGAGCGGTCAAATCTGGGCTCGAGCAATGAAAAGAAACTCCCAAAATCTCTAAAATTCACGCAAACCGCTCGAGCGGTGAAAAGTTCACTCAAGCGGACTTGCTTCTAACACAAATACTCAAATTTCAAACGGCCATAACTCTCTCGTCCGAACTCCATTTTAGGTCGTTCTTGTGTTCAAATCAAAGCCCCAAAAACAAACTTTCCAATGGTTCTAGCCTCACATCCAAATGCAAAGTGTAGAAAGAGAAAAGGGCAAAAGACTGAAGACTACTCATGGGGCAATTATCTGAATCAATATTTTTGGTCCAATCTTACTTTACCATTGTAATATCACCCCAATCAATACTCTAACATCAACCAAAGAGGCTCCAAGTACAATAATAAGAGAGTCAAAAGCAATCTCATAAGTTCAAGAAGTACAAAGTGTTAAAGATTACAATTTACTTAGGTTGTGTTTGGTTGGGGAATTTGGAAAGAGATTTGAAAAAGAAAATGGAAAAGAAAAAAAGTAGATGAAATGTGAATAAAATATACATACATTTCACCTAATTTCACACACATTTTCTCTCTTCCTTTCCAAATGCCTCCCCAAATCCTCCAACCAAACACACCATAAGAATATACAAGTGGAATAACTGAAGTTTGAAACTTTTAGATTCACAGAGAGTTCCTTTGGTAGTACTAAGAAAAGAAACTTAAACATTTGGGGATAATGAGACATGAACTGTTGCTATTGCCAATGGAAATAGAAAATTTTCACTCCTAGAGTTGAAGACCACATAGTGAAAAGAAGCTTTCCCACTTGAATTAAAAGCATCCTAATGCATGTCAAACTTTGTGCACCTACTAAAAACTTCTTTAGGTTGTTATTGTTATTCTATGAATTCTATGACACCCAAATACATGGTGTGAATGTCATTAGTGAATTTTATGTTGGTCTTGGAAATAATGTTACTCTAAGAGATTTTGTTTTACGAACCTGCTCACAACTTTCATGTAATGTAATAAAAATTGAGAAACCATATGCAATATTTGGTTTCTACATTGATATCTTCTCATCTTTTTTTAGCGATTGAAACTTTTCATTCTCTATTTTCCCTTGGTTTCTTCTCTAAGAAATCCCAATTGTGTCTATCTTAGACTCTTAGGTGTTTACCTCATATACTTTCTGAATATGTGGTTTTTTATTTAATCCGTATCATTATCATTATGTTAGATTATTTTGTTTAAGTTCACAAGGTAGCATACTAAGACTCCTAAGATTAGTCCAGCACTTGGGCAAGAAGTTTGTGTTGTATCATTTGAAGAAAAATCATAGATAATGCACCAACAACAATTTCCTTGGTAAAAATCATCTTGATTGTAAATGGAGAAGGAAATTACTTATTGGCTCAGATAACAAACTGAAACTCTAAGCAAGATCACATGATATGTTGACAATTAGGAAAAGGAAATTTCAAGATTATATGCAAACAAAATGATTAAAAAGTTGGGAATAGGATAACATAGAGAGAGAATGCAAGAAGTCACAGCTTTGATCTCATGGGATTAACAAAACAAAACATACAGAACAACAACAAACAAATAAGTAAATAAACAAAGCAAGAGGGTGGAAAACAACAACAATAAAAAGCATAGACCAAACAACAGCAACAAATACACTACCAACAACAACAATAGCAACATCATCACACACAAACTAATTGATCAAAAGAAAATTGGAATTGAATAGAAGTACGATTAAAGCTGTGTTTGGTTGGGGATTTAGGAAGGGATTTGAAAAGGAAAAGGGAAAAGGTCTGTGAAACTAGGTGAAATATAAGTATATTTTATTCACATTTTACCTACGTTTTCTCTTTTGTTTTCCAAACTCCTTACCAAATGCCCCAAATAGTGTAAGAATCATTATGTAGGACAATAGAAGAATGGATTGGAGTTTCGGAAATTACATCCCGCCCCCTGAGGTTTGTATTTTCATAACAATTTGCCCCCTGAGGTTTATATTTCATAACAAATTACCCCATAATTTCTTATGCAAATATAGCATTTAGGGGGGAATTCGTAATTTCTCAAACCTCAGGGGCATCTGTAATTTAGCCAAACCTCGAGGGGTGTATATGTAATTTGCCCTTATTTTTATATTTTTTGTTATTATTTTTTTAGGGGTTAATGTGTAGCTGTAAGAAACTTTAATTGTTTAGGTATCCAGTGTCTTTTCATATTTTGACTTGTATACCTCATGCAGTGAATGTTTATAATGGGTTTTATTTTATTTATTTATTAATTACATGTATAGAGCTTCATACTACTTTATTTTGTTTTTTTGTTTGTTTTTATAGGGTGTGGAATGTGGATTTTCGGCTGTGAAAATTGTAAAGATCAAACTGTGCAATCGAATGCTAACATATATTCATTTCGAAATCTCAAATAATTTGTCAAATATGTTTTTCGTATTGAACTTTTTTGAATAAATTATAAATATACTTTCTGAGATTTGTTTAAAATACGAATTATCTGCTGAGAATTGATTGAGCTGGTTTGGTTGTATTCAATGGAGACCAACAGAAGCAGTAGTAAACAGATGTGATATTGTAACGGTGGATGGAAGTGTTAGAGGACATGATAGACTAGACTTAGATTAACGTTGGCTAGCGTTATAAACAGAGATATGGATCTACTAAATTTGGCTGATGGAAATGGCCTTTGATAGGGCCGCTTGGAGAAGAAAGATTCACGTAGCCGACCCTATTTGATGGAACTTAAGACTTGGTTTAGTTTTGGTTTTGGTTTTGATTAGAATTAATTAAAAACGTGAAATTTCTAACTGTTCACTTATACAATAATCAAATTATCTAAATTATTAATTGAAATAAAATTTTAGCATTATTAATAAAATGATTTATTTGTTATGAAATTAAAAATTTTAGAGGGCATAATATAATTTTTAGAACTATATAAGATAATTTGTAATTTAAATAAATCTCAAGATATGTATTTATGACTTACCCAATTTATTTTATTTATTTTTTTCAATCGAAAAGAAATAGAAAAATAAAAATCACACAAACTCGAATCAAACTTGCTAAAGTGATCCCTTATTATTATTTTTCGGACAAATAATTTAATCCTTAGTGTTTTTATTTATGGGTCGGTTATTCTTTTTATTTAGAAATAATCATATAATTTTTTTATAGTTTGTGAATTGAAATGTAACTATAAACATTCTATTAAACCTAACAAAGATGAAATACGTGTTGAATATAAAGTAATTTATATGTTAATTCTTAAATTTTAAAAATGTAAATTGCACATTAAATAAAATACAAGGGAGCTACATGGAATTTTGAGTAGAAAAAATAGACTATATCTTGACAATTTTCGGGGGAGAAAAAAAAAAAAGAAAAAGAAAATTAGAAGGAAAAAAGAAAATGAAAAAAAAGAAGAAAATTCAACAACTGATGGGACCAGCAGTGAGGAGTGCAGGTTATGGAGCGTCACTGAGCTTGCGCATAATAGCATGGGCCACTAAGTAATTAATGTTAGTTTAGGAAGTTGTTTGCCAACTAGTGTATTATTTAATTCTGTTTCCCAGACCCCCCCTCTCGGAGAAGAAGAAAGTTAGGGCATTCGTCGCCGGAGCTCCCATCGCCGGCCTCTCCCCTCCGACCACCACCAATCACCACCACCGCCGTCGTCTCTCTCTTCATATCTCTCTCTCTCTCTCTCTCTCTCTCTCTCGCTATGTATATATATAAATATATACGAATTTTTTTTGCTGCAAATTTGCAGGAGATCGGGGCTGAAGAATTGGAGCAGGTTGGAAATGGTGAGAAGTGTGAAGAGTCACCACCACGAAGATGAGGAACTCGTTCCGAGGAGGGCCACAGATTGCTCTTCTCAGATTGGTATTACTCGTTTGTGTGTAAACACGTCTCTTCTCAGGTTTAAATTTTTTTTTCTTTCTAAATTTGGTGATCTGACACTAAAATTAGACGTGAAGAGCACTGATCAGAAGACGAACGCGGTTCGCTCGAAGCATTCGGAGACAGAGCAGCGTAGAAGGAGCAAGATAAATGAGAGGTAAGCTATATAAAGCATTCTCTTTCGTTCTTTTATTATGTTATTGTAAAGTGTACATGAGCTTTCTCTTTTGTTGTGTCATTAAACACATTTGTTTCTGTAGAGATGGGAGAATAATGGATTTTTTTAAGTGTTAGATAGATCTATAGTTGTTTAATATTATACCTCAAAGTGGTAAATCATTTTTTGAATTTTTTTTATTGTGGGTTATAATAATATTGTTGTTAAATCGCAAATGGAGTCTTGAATCGTAAGGTTATATGCATAAAAAAATACACAAGGTTTAAAATGAAATAAATAACAATATAATTAATTGTCCTCTATTTTTATTTTGTAAAAATGACATTGTTTCATATATTATGCAAACAAAACTAACTCGCAGTGAATTGCAATGAATCCTAATGAAGCATAGTGAAACGCGATGAATTGTGTTGAATTGTACTACTCACTCAATTTAAGGTTTGACAATACAATATGAATTGTTTTGGTTGAAACTCATATCGATTCCATCACACTGGTGGTCATGGTTGTGCCCCCTTGAATTTAGTTCTGTATTAATCCCCTCTTTGGAAACTGCGGTAATCACACTACTCATTGATGATTGTCTACTAGGGCTGGGTTTGAGATTTGAATATATTGTTTTTATGTAAGACATCCCTCAAAGAATGACTGAGGACTGCGTGCTCTTACTTGTATTCAATTTCTGTGAACTTCTTCGTTATTCTTGGAGCTGATGAATCTTTAATCTGGGTTGCAGATTTCAGATTTTAAGGGATCTCATACCTCAAAATGATCAAAAGAGAGATAAAGCGTCATTTTTATTAGAGGTGCAATATTTCTTTGAATTTCTTGTATTAGGTTTTTTAGTTGTTTTGTTCATTTTATTTTGTTTCTAAAAATGAATTGAAGAATGTTTACTGTATATGCAGGTTATACAGTACATTCAGTTTCTACAAGAGAAGTTACAGATGTATGAGGGGTCATACCAAGGTTGGAGTCAGGAGCCCACAAAGTTGATGCCATGGGTAAAAACCCTAACATCTGTGATATGATTGTTTGTCAGTTTGTCTGTGGAACCCTTGTTTGCTTTGGCATGCAATCATTACTCTCTTTTTTTCTTTTTTCTTTTTTTGTGGGTGTTTGGTGCTGTTAGAGGAGCTCTTGGTTTTGGTTCAGTAAATTTTTAATGTCTAGTGTGACAGCCTGGATTGATTCCATGTATAAGACCACCATTGTAAATTCATGATGGTTGATGACACCTAACTGGAATATTGGATTTGATTTATGAATATAAGTTCGTTCCATCTCTCTTTTTTTTCTCGTTTTGTGGCCATTCCCATATATTTTTCATTATGTGGGATATTGACTTTTAGAGTTGCCTGCGACCTCAATGTTTTCTATTCACAGGGTTATTTCTGGTGACAGAATTTTTTAGTTTGTTTAATGAAATCACAGAATCTTTTCATATTGCTGTTGAATTCTGTACATGTTTCGGATGTGTGTCTGTTGCTTTACTTGTACACTGTATTCTGGAGTACTTTAAAAACTTGTATTATGAAGCTTTTCTTGTTTTCCTAGAAACATGTTATTATTTATTTTTTCATTTATGTAGATGGTCATTACGTTGATATAGATTTTTCTTTTTTTATCTTTCGAGGGATTTTACTTCCTCCTGGTTCCAAGATTGAATTTTACATAGTGGTTACTTGAGCATAAAGAGTAATAATGAAGGACATGGATTTTCTTTATCAAAGGTTCTTTGGTTGTATTAGGAGCTGTATTATTCTGGCACATTGATTCCCGTTTTTTTTTTTAATTTTTTTTTTTTATCTGAAGTGAACGTAGAATTTCTCTCTCATGTGTTTGCAAACAGAGAAACAATTGTGGGCCTGTAGAAAGTTTTATTGATCAATCACAACTCATGAGGAATGGATCTGGTCAGGAGGATAGTATTGTTGTCACACCAGCCATGCTTACTAATGCACAGAACTCAGTAGAATCTGACTTGGGTGAGGCTGCTGTATACAAGGCATTGGATAATCCCGCTGTGGCAGAAAACCAAGCAATTCCGATTAATATACCATTGCAATCAAGTGTTCTTGGGGATGTGCCTACCCAACGTTGTCAGGCATTTGTTTCTGACTCTGAACACTTGGCATCCCAGTCCCAATCCCAATTTTGGCAGAGTAGGCCATGTACAACTGAAAGTGCCGTTCCAAGCTATACTCTGAACGAAGAGGAGCTAAAAATTGAAAGTGGTGAAGCTAGCATTTCAAATGCCTACTCTCAAGGGTGAGCACCTGCATTAAGTTCCTTGGAGTTTGTGTTACACCAATGCATGAGTTTGGTTGTTAATATTTTATTTTAACGGGATATACCATATATGTATCTTTGATGGTTATGTTATTTTAAATAAATTAAGAAAAGAAAGAATAAAAGAATACAAAAAGAAGAAGGTGGTTATGTTATCCTCAAAACATGTATGCTTGGCTATGATTTGTGATGCATTGGTAGTGTTGCTGGAGGCATGAAATATACCACATTTTTGTAGTAAATAAACTGATGTGGTGAACTTGACATTAATAATGACTGGTGATGCATGCAACTTAATTTGTTCATTCTTTGCGTTTATAGCAAGTTTACTTGCCCTTATTTTTTGTTGGGCCTAAACAAGGGTACTTGTGTAGCTTGAAAATCTTTGAAAGGCGCATGTAAGCATCGGTTGTTATAAGAGATGGCCCATTGTATGTTAGTTGACCTTCTCTTCTTTTTCTATTGCCCTCAGAAGTTATGATTCTCATATTTATACCACTAGCTTTGCTATTGAGGCTCGTCTTTCCCAAATTTCTTACACATTTGTATTTCCGAAATAATTATTTTGGATATTTGGGCTTGTGCAATGTCTTCAGTTTAGATTCTTTAGCCACGTAATGCCCTACATGTTTTGGTTGAGATTTCTCTAGTTTATTACCAGTCTTCTTATGCTTTTAGAACTCAGTTAGAGTGGTTACTGTTGGACTGGTAGAACTGTAGTGGTTTCATGAAATATTTGGTTTTTGATGAGTAAAACTTACTCTTTACGCCTATCCAAAAAAAAAAAAAAAAAACCAACTCTTTACAGTAAGAATAATATGACAATGTATCCCATTTGAGCACCGGAATTTCCTGTTATAAACTTTTCTTGAAACGTGGATTTTTCATTTGCTATTTTTTTTTGTTGACTAGGTTGTTGAATAGCTTGACTGAAGCACTGCAATCTTCAGGAGTGGATTTGACACAGGCCAGCATCTCAGTGCAACTTGATGTTGGAAAACGAGCAAACACTGGACTGACTGCTACAATGTTCAGTGCAAAGGTATTTCTTGAATCTCCTATTCATTTTTTAAGCGCCGTCTTTAACTTTCTACATGAGACAGACACACGGAGAGAGTTGAGTAATAGCTTATTAAACGTGTACACAGAAAAATGCAATTCTTAATATCTTTTTTATGATGATTAACCCCGTTTTTTTTGGTAGCGGTAAGAAAAATGCTATTCATACAAAAAACACCACAAGAATGATGTGGCAATGACATTGCTGTAAATATAAGTCATCTTTATGGGTGTTTTGTTTTAAAATGAAAGGTCACCATTAAGCCACATCATTATGTATGAATTTTCTATTTGTCTATCATTACTCTTTTGGTAATGTTATGAGTTTAATTGAGCCCAATTCTTTGGCCTGGCATCTGGAAGTAGTGGTTCAGAAATTAGGAATAGGGAGCTTTTCCAAATTACTTTATTGTTTAGGTTTTACTTGGAGATATTTGTTTTTAGGTTTTAGTTTTTTTCATCTTAATAGCTTATTGTGCATGCAGGATCATCAAAACCAATGTCCTGTCAGTCAATCAAGGACAGTTTATGGGGTTGGGAGTAGTTGTGAGGACTCTGATCAAGCTCATAAAAGACTCAGAACAGAACACATCTAGCTATTTTCCCGAATTTTGTTATTTAGTTTTCTTCAAAGCTTTCATTTTTCTTTTTGTGATGAGGAGAGTTCAGTGTGGGGGCTGTTTTGACATTTGATGATCTACAGATGCCCAGATGCATGAACTTTTTAGATGCAGCTGTTACATATTGTTTTCTGTTCTCTGAAGGGGTTTCCATGCGACATTGAGAAGCTGCTTTATGTATGTTCTTCTAATGGCTTCCGTTTTTCCAACCAGTCTCATTCTTTTCATGAAATGCAATCATCTGTAAATTTATACCAACCATGATAACACTCTTGAAATAGTAAATACCTCTTGACCACATAGGATCGTGTGGCATTGTTTGCCAAGTTAATTTTCTAACATTGTCTTAAGTTTTGGAATTAATAGGTGAGTTTTTATACTTTAGCATACTTGCATAAGTGTGAATGTTGCCATGATTAGCATGTTTCTTATGAGGTTATGTACTTAAATGCTAAATTGCTTGAATGCCTTTGGATGAAGGCTTGTTGTTTGAATTGGAACTGCATATAGTTTTGTTTGCTTCAAAAACATCCAAATAACTAAAGGTGACCCTTTCTTTTTGTTCATTTTTTCTTTTTCTTTTGTATCTCTCAATGTTTTCCATTTTGTTTGAATTGAAAGAGTTGCCAATGGCCAAGAATTGAGAATATGGAGGGCACATCTCTCCCTTAGCCTCGTGCTCTCCCCAACCCTTCCTAACACCACCACCAATCTTACGATGCACAAAATAATTTTAAAAATTGAATTAATTCAATTTCTATTTTAAAAAATTCAAAAATTGAATTAACAATTTCTATGAGTGGTGTTGATTTGGGCTTTTTATTAGAAGGTTGGATTTTTTTTCAATACTTCATTTTTCCAATCTTGTATTAAACTTTAAAACAATATATATATATATATGCTTTATATTAAAATGTTCAAAATTTATTTATTTTAATTATTTGCTATTTATTTATTTACTTATTTTTAGTATAGAGTAATTATAATTCTAACTTGAATCAATCCAAACTGCATTGATTTTGTTTAATTTGGATCCAATATGTGGTTAGTTTAGTCATGAATTCAAATTTAATGTTACCCCAAACAAAATGGATCATAAATTTATGTATTTAAGACAATGTGACAGAACACTCGGTAGAAGGGTAGTTGCAATGGTTTTTTTTTTTTTTTTTTTTGGATCAAAGGAAAATACAAGGAAACAAATCAGTAGACCAAAAACTAGAAAGAAACTACAAATGTGCCAAAAAAGCAGCAAGCCCAGGTGGCGATCTAGACACCCAGTCTAGCAGGAGGAGATTCCGAAGATGAGATTGTGCCACCCAATGAGTTGTTGTAGACATCTCATTTTTGACCGACCGCAAGACTCGGGCGCTTTGTCTTGTGCACTTGATGATAAAAGTTACATTGTGTATGATTCGAATTCTCAATGGAGGAATTTAAGCTCAAGTTTTGAAACAATCCCAAAACCTTCATATTTATACTATTCTTACCTCAAAGGTCCCTTTTTGAACATTGTGTCACCTTACATTGAGCCTGAAACAGAGGAACATGGGAGCGCATTGGGGCTCGACCGTGTCTCATTGGGAGCCGGCCGTGCTTTGTTGGCGAGAAACATTGTTTTGGGTGGGAATCAGCCAACCGTCTATTTTTAAAGATATTTATGACCTATTTTGCTCAAATTCTATAAATATGAATTGATCCCACTGTGTTGAGGGTTAGAAAAATTTCAAAAGAAGCAAAACTCCCCTGAGAGCTTCTCCTTCTTGTGCAAGCAAGCTTTGAGTTATTTAACATCCTTGCACTATATCTATACACCATACACACCCTTAGAGCAAAGCCTTAGAGTCTTGGTTGAGGCTTGAGAATCACAATTCAAACTTGAGACTGCCTTTGGATTGAGTTTGGTTTACAATAAAAACTTATTCTCTTCAAGAGGTATAAGCTTTCCACATTTTCCCTTGCTTTCATTTCTGTCTCTTTCTATCTATTTCTTGTGTTTTTGTGTTGTTTTGAATCCATTTCAGGTGTTGGAACTTGGGGTTGAATAGCTACCAAAGGTAGAGAGGGTTAACACCTTTTCTTGCACCTTAGTTCATAGCTCATACTCTTTGTTTTCACACTCTCTTCTTTGACTTTCAAACTGATTTTCAGAGTTGAAAAGGGCTGAAAAATATGGTTTAAAAGTCTCAAAAGTGGAGGGGTTAGCCACCATTCTTTGTTCTTGCTTACTAGTTTTGGTATCGCCTTGTTATTATCTATCTCTTTGTGCTCTTTAACATAAGTTTTAGCTACTATTTTTAACATATTAGAGACTGTTTAGGATTGTTTTAATTCCTTTACTTAGTTTATGCTTTGAATACTGTGCTTATTGTGTTGTACGTCCTTATGGCTTCGATTGTTTAGGCTTTAGACACCGAGTCATTCGAGTTGATAGCCTTCTTTATCTCATGTTAAATAATCAATCTTGCATAATTATTTCTACACCCTTCCTCATTTCTTCTTTTCTTTTGTTTGAGAGCCATTTCAAACGATTGATTGTTATTCAAGGCATGACAAAGAGATCTAGGTTCAATGACTTAATTTCTACGGAGGTTCATTGCCAAGGCGTAATCTCTCTTTCATGCTATGGATCACTTCTCATTTGACATGTCTTCTCGCGTAGTAGACTTAACTCTCATTATCGGACAAATTGATTAAGTAATGGAAATGACTAATAAAAATTGGCTTAAAATCAATAAAACCAACATAAAGAAAATGTTTAGAATTGGTTGGATTTGACCGGACGTTATGCCAAGCCCATGGCTTCAAGAATTGTCACTTATTGATTCATGATATGTTGATGAGACTTGAGGCGTGTCTACCTTCCTCTTTGAGTTAAATTCACGATAAGAGGGAGGAGTGGTCACCATTCATTGCATTTATTAAGTTTTTGTCCAAATTGTGTTCGAAATCATCAAGCCATCAACATGTACTTGTTGATGATTTTGGAACCAAATCTACTATTCTCTCAAAGTTTCACATGACAGAGAAGAACAGAGGAGATAAAAAGGGCTTAAGCTGCTCTGTCTGCACTATTTTCACCTCAAAGCACAAAAACAGTTTTTTCATGAAATTAGGATACAACCGGCCTTGTTTGGACCCTGCCGGGCCTCATTGAGGGCTGGCCGGGCCCCAATGTTTGGTAAGAAATGCATTTTTGGCAGAAATAGAAGGCAGTGGCTGAGGGTGGAATAGAGCAGTCTGGGCAGACAGAGCAGTTTCTGAACACTGTCTTCATCAACACGCATGCGATCTTTGTGCATTCTTATTGTTGTTTATCTTAATGTAATTATTGTAATTGTTGTAATTATTATTAGTGTACTTATTGTTGTAATACTATATTGTTGTAATTATTATTGTTATAATCATAATATCCTTGTTGTAATAAGTTAGATAGCTAGTTATTCATTTCTTATTTATTCATTCAAATTTGTAATAAGTAGGTAGTTTATTTATTATTCATTTAGATTTGTAATAGTTAGTTTAAATCCAGACACTCAGGCGTTCATTTGAACCCTCTTGTACAAGGGAAAAATATGTAATAATTGCGTATATCTTCCAACCTCCATTTCTTTTTCTTTTTTATTTACTCGCTTACAATGGTAGCATAAAACATCATGTTTACTTAGCATTTTTCCATGACTTGCATCCACTCGTTTTGTATGCATGAGGGTTCGGCTCATCATTCTAAACCAATGTCAAGATCAAAATTCTTTGCTCGAATACGTGCTTTATTGCATACTTTGAATTGAATCATATGCCATGCTAATAGCCGAACTCATTATTTGCATAATGTGTGCATTGCATTAGTCATATTGCATTGTTTAGGAGCATGCATTTTTTCTAATTACTTTGCATTATTTGGCTTGCCTTGGAGTGCTAGGTGAGCATTTCTCGCTTTAGCATATTGCATTGTATGTTTGTGTTGCCATATTAAGAATATTCCATGAGGCTAAGTGCTTAAGTGATATACTTGTTTGAATGCCGGCAGATGAAGGCCTTTTTACTTAAGTTGGAATAATTTGATTAAATGAAAATATGAGCTCGCTTTTTCAAGTGACATGTATTCAAAACACGTATTCAAAACAAACATAAAATCAAAATATTTCAAATTTTGTGAATTGGTCTATACTTGTGTGGATCACCTAGTAAAGATAGCATAATAACCAGAATAAAAGCATATAACGTAAATAAAAATCATATCATGATTAGTAGAGGCCGACCTTTGATCGGGTGAGAGGAGCGCTCAATTCATGACATTCCCTTCTCATGCCTAAGTTCCTGAGCCGAGACACTTTGGTGATGATGAATAAGTGGCCTTTTGGCATGAGTCACGGGTTTCATAGATTTTTCAAAAATATTTAGGTGACAACTCTGTAATCTGGCAAAGCGGTCCATTTTTGGCATTTTGATTCAAAATTCGATTTTCCAAAAGATTTACCGGATTTGGACTCATTTGTGTTTATCTATTTCATATTGCACTTGTGAAATCAGATTCAAAACCACGAGAGTCCGAACTGTAGGGCTAATCGTATTCGAGGAGACTAAACCCCTCCGAGGAGCACGAAAAGCAAACTACAGCTGCTTTGTTTGCTGTTTTGGGGTTCCACGAAAAGGAGAAATCACCAAGTCGAGCCAAAATCTTGACATCGTAAATGACCGCAGCGCACTCCCAGGGAGGAACTGATTCGAACACACATAGGGAAATCACTAATTTATTATCACCCAAAATTTTAACATTGGAGAGATTGTGGGAGGAAGCTAATTGACAAGCTAACCGGCATGCCATTGCTTCACCTTGAAGAATAGAGGAGATAAGAACTGATTGGGTCAAACCATCCAAAATCTTGCCTTGTGAGTCTCGCAAAATGGCCGCAATAAAGGCTCTTCGAGAACCCTTTAAAAGAGCCACATCACTATTGATCTTGTACCTACCTGGAGGTGGAGGACTCCATTCAAGGTTGGGATTGGGATGAAAAGGAGAAGACTGTTCCATGGTGCCCAATACAGACAAAGCCACCATGTGTTCCTTCATAGCCAAACGCACTCGCTGCAACGTTGAAGAAGGGTCAACAGGTGTGGAGTTAAAAACCCAAGCATTTCGTTCCTTCCAAATAAGCCACCCTATCTAAGCAATTGTACTAAAGAAGCTGATGCATTCTTCGTTTCTTTTGATGGTTTCCTTGACCGTACACATCTAATGGATCACTGAAGAAATGGAGCACCAATCTACTTTATAATTAAGG